CAACATTTCAGTTTATTGAAGAACACARCACACTGAAAAGTTCAAGGGATTTTTTTGTCACAGTTGATTCAATTTTTAAACGTGTTTATTATGTARAACAATTAATCAAGTTAGGTGCATATACCCACGTACAACTAACTTAACACGGTTGCGCGAACATACAGATCAAGTGTTAGTTTTTTTTTATTGTTCCAAAAACACATTTTAGCCGATAGAATAAATCTATAATCGTTAGTCATTTACATTTTACATAAATAATTGATGATATGTTTTTTTTTTTTTACGGAAATATTGATTTAGTAAAAAGTTAAGTGAATATTTGTTAAATCTTGATGACATTTAAAGATATTTTCATGTAATAGCCATATACATATAATTACTAGGCACCTAATTAATATTTTAGTTACAAACACGTTATGTAGAACTTCATGCAAATTATTGTCAACGAATCTGTTATGAATGAAAACGGTATTATAGTTTGTTTTAAACAATTTATTTCATTATTTGGATTTTTGTGAAATCCTTCAGTGGCCGCCTGTGACGGTTTGTCTTTTATACGACGTACGTGGACAACGGCGCATCGGCAATGCGAAAACGGGAACGTAAAAACCGTTTGTTTCATGATTAATACATGACTYCGAAGTTTTACTGAATATTTTTGTAGTTAGGCCAAGAGAATATGGGCAGTAATTCTTCATGTATTATCATCAGGTCGTCACGTATAGATGATAATTGCCGGTCCACGATATGGCTCTGAGGCGAGGGAGATACCTTATGACCTTAGCACTGTGAACGTATACAGTTTGGATGGAAGAATATACACACGCGGTCTGTACCGTTATTGTGCGGGAGACAAAATAATTAAGAGGTTCTCATTTTTAGTACCGCCATAGAAGACATTTTTAATAACCTAAATGATACATTTTGCAATRTACAAACTTCATTACTTTGTTAATAATTTCTATAATTTTAAACAATAAAACTTTTTTTGATGATACATGATAAATTAAAATATAAAATTAATTCTCATATTTTTATTTACAAATTTTACACCTATAAGTTTATAGATGACTTTAGCAWACAATTCACATTATTTTGGTTTAATAATAATTAACGACAATAATATAACGATCTTTAATATTATTTAAACTATAMAATAGCAATACCTTATTTTTTAAATTAGTCTACATTATAAAATTTATAGAAACATAGACAGATAACAAATYATTCATATTGATGTGACGTATTACATCAATTTTGCAATTTTTATTCCAATTTTGTATTTACATGCAAATAATATGATGGTGTGCCAATATTGAGTGAGCATTGTTTATAACGTAGGAAGTGGGCATAGCGATTGTTAAAGAGATAAGTTATATTTTTCAAGTACTTATGGTTCCTAATTTATATAGACTCATATAGACTATTATATACATAATATTATACATAACGGCTATCTGTATTTAATATTTAATATGTATGCACTTAATGTGAGTGGTTGCTGGAACAAACGGCGATATTGTGTATGATTTTTACAAGCTCTTTAAATCTTAAATGATAAATTTATAGTGGGCTGTTCTACAATAATGTATACAGGCGGTGTCCCGTGAGGATTYACTCATTGCGATATCTCCCGAAATAATGGTAATATCGAAATTCTGGTTTTGTAATAAGACTCTCAGGGATAAGAACTACAATCATTTCATATTTTATTTTATTTAAATGTTTTGGTAAAAAAGTTAAAAAATATATTTTTTTATTTAATTATTTCAAAAAAAAAATTAAAGATAGCCATTTTGTTGAGTTTATTTTTCTGAAAATATTGACGTTTCAAAATTTTAATTTCATTAATTTCCTGATTTTTAATAATTTTTTTAGTTTCGAGAAAAATTGCGAATTATTTAACACCGTAATGTTATCAAACATGTGACCCGCCGCGCCGTGCGGATTCCCATACGGCCGGCCGAATATTTTCCGTGCTCCTAATAGGTAGTTATAAATTTATAATCATATTTTATTTCTTCGAAACTAGAAAAAATGTTAAAAATCAGGAAATGAATGAAAATAAAATTTTGAAACGTCAATATTTTTAGAAAAATAAACTCTACAAAATGGCCGTCTTTAATTTTTTTGGAAAAAATKAAATAAAAAATAAATTTCTTAAATTTTTTACAAAAACATTAAAATAAATTYAAAAATGAAATAATTGTAGTTCATATCCCTATGAATCTTATTATAAAACCAGAATTTTGATATCTCCATTATTTCGTAAGATATCGCAATGGGTAAATCCTCGCGGGACACCCTGTATATCTAGAATACATTATACATTTAAAAAATAATTATATTAATTGACCTATGAATATCATCTATGTTTACAATATTTTTAATTTAAAAAAATAACAGAAGTCGGCATAGGTAGCTATAATTATCCAAACATTTCTATTCCTTCTTTAAAACAGTACCGTCAGTTGTACCTATACCTATAGGCTATTCTATTCATTGTTGTGTCAATAAAGTATTGGTAGGTGTATATAACGAAATAATTAATCTAAAATCAAATGTATAGTATTTAATTGAAACATCAGATCTATTGATACGTGCTTTGACTTTAAAATAAAATTCACTTTTACAATTTATTTGCCAAACGTCATACGTTAACACTAGGTCGGTTAGGTACAGTGTACACATTAGTAAAATACTAAACCGCAGTAATGACGAACAAAAAATAATATTTGCATAATACAAAAGTTACATATTATTTATCCATCATCTATGAAATAAATAATTAAATAGGTACTCAATAACAATAATATTAAGTACAAAGGTATTTATTATACTTCGAAAAATTATTATTTTCTCAAGTTATGAATTCATTAGGTAACGAGTACAAAAATAGTCTCCTTAAAAGTGTAGAAAAAATATTATTTTGTATATAATATTTGTAGAAACAAGTTTTTAGTAGTTTAGAAGTTTAGAAGTAAAAAAATGTATAAATTACGATTTACGATACGAATTCATAATAATAATGTAATAATGAAGTACCAACATATTAACTTTTCATGATCGTTCATAAATAATAAATAATAATTATATTCAAAGAGTATATTACTACCCATGTTAAAAGTATAAATATTGTAAGCCGGTATATGATATTGTACTCGGAAGTTTTAAATAGTTCTTAAAGTATATTTGTTTATTCTCAACTATATGGAATATTTTTAATACGTATGCCTATTTTAGTCAATATAACGAAAAATATGTATAAATATTTTGTTGACAATAACAGTCAACAATACCATTTTGCCTATGGCATCAAGACAAAGTGAGATAGGTACTTAAACTATTATAAATAGGTATGTCATAAATGCATTATTGCATTGTATGTAATAATATTGTAATTTTTATAAGTTGGTACCTATTATTAATTTACAAAATTAGTTAACACTTAAAGCATATTACTAAATTCCCACTTTTAAGTAAAGTTTTTTTTTAAATGTACCTATATTTTTTAATATTAATTGTATTAATCAATTAAGTTTATCACACTTTAGATAAGAAACCAAGTTGAGTAAATTATTCGTAAGTATATCAGTATATGCTAGATGTAATTTGACATAAACTGGCAATTTCTTGTTTTTCGCATATGATTTATTTATAGCTAAAATGTTGTATTGTTTTATTATGTTATGTATTTGTACTGGATTCTAATATCTATATAATAGTTAAAAAAATAAAATTCAAGCAATAAATGTTTTTAAAAACATTGGATTAATTCTAAATAGGACAAGAGTGATGAATTATCTAAGTAATAATACTATACTCGTAGTATCAAAATTGTTTAAATTTTATTTAGCATCAGAGTAAGACGAATGACTAATTTTTAGACATTTTTTTTCCTGGAAATACATTTAAATAATTAGGTTTAATTAACATTATCTTCTACAATGTTCATTGAATGTAATATCATTTATTATTATAGACTTTATTATTTTAGTTATTAATATGAAAATCTATAAACACAAGAGTTAACTAGTTTTATGCCTTTACACTCGAATTTTTTCTCCATGTTCTTATTGTAACAAAATTTCATTATGTATTTTTTCAACAAAAGTGTGTTATGTTTTCACTGAAGACTTTCATTTTTCTCCCAGGCGCCAATTCTCACCTGGAACGTCACGGTCCGAGTAAAATTAAATCGCGATTCCGCGCGGCTTATCGGATYGCGTTGGCGAGAAATATATCCYATTCTTTTATTATAATAATAATTATACATTAAAAACTAATATTTCTTTGTAATATCATATAATATATGGAATAAACGTCAACAAATTTTTTGTCATTCTATCGGCGAGRTTTATATGACGGGGGCCGAATATCGTTTGTGTTACGCGTGGACGGCGGCAAAAGAAGACGAAGAAAAGCAGCAACAGCAGTAGAGCGTAAGCGCACAAGTTGAAGGACAATAATTTCGGGAGGARAACGACCCGCGCTGCCACATTATAGCAGAGGTATACGTGCCTACATATAAACACATACAACYACGTTATACCACCCGTCGCCGCCGTCTTCGTCAGGTGTACACCATTGGTGGTGCGGTGGAGTGCGGTGCCGGTGCGGCTGCGTGGCGTCATTGCCCGCGTGTAGTATTTTTTTAACTAGGTTAGTGTAACGCCGCCGCCGCGTGCGCGACTCCTACCAAAAAGGGGGACCGGTTCCGCCACGGAGCAGGTAGAACGCATCGTACCTATATTATAATAAACGTATACACATCATAATATTATATACCTATATGTTTATGGCATAAACCTATAAGTGATGGAAGAGAGAAGGGAAAAACGCACACCGACGCCGCCGCGTTACCACCTCTCCGCGCAACCATGATGGCTGTGGCGGTGTACCCGGTCCATCGGCGGCGGCGGTTGTGCCCCACCCCGCGGTCTCCCCGCCAAGACCCCCCTGGCAGAGGCCCCGCTCGGTTCGACCACCGGTGCACGCGCATACGCGTCAATACACTCGGTGCGCATAGTATCTCGCGGACGCGCCGGACGTGGATTTATGCCGACGAGCAGTCAAAGACGATACATTTTTCGACAGTAACAATAAATGTACTTTGACAATCGTTCCTCTTTTTCGTGGATTTTATAAGTTTTTCGAATTTTTAATATTTTTGTTTTCGGTGCGGTTACAGTTGTAGAAGTTCTTTTTCCGCTATAACATTTTATATTTATCTACAATTTTATATTCAAGTGCGGTGGTGAAGTGCGGTATACATACATATATATATATATTTAAATATACAAGTGTGTCTTAACCCAGCAGTGCGACCGTCTTCGGCAGACTTGTATACTTGGCAAATATATTATATTGGCGTGTATATTCCAACCGCGATTGTTTACGAAAAGCCTACGCGATTACTTTTGATTGCTGTAACAGTAAGCTCGATTATTTTAGACTTAAAAGCATACATACGCTGTAGTATCATAAAATACATAGTGTTCCAAACTTCCGTGAGTTTATGAAAGCACAAATTTTATCTCCGCACTATTCCTATACTCTATAATGATTTTTAATTTTCTTTGTTCGGAATTTCCGGCTCTAGAAGTTTGGAACACGTTGTATGTTTATATTTAATTAGAAAAATGTCCTTCGGGAATCATCACTTCCCCGTATGCTTTCAACTTCCTTGCGATAGTTCCCTTTTCTCATCCTTATATTATGGTCAATTCGCAAGTAGGTTCCACGAAATTACCGAGGCCGATTTTTGCTGTCTATACACTTTACAGGTGAACAAATTCGAACACTTTTTTTTTAAATTATTATAATCGGTAAACAAATATGACCTTGTGAAAAAAGCTATTGTTTTTATAATTTTTCTCGGGGTGAATGACCGTCGACGAGGACTCGCCCTTTAATGATCAACAGGTAAATTCATCAACAAATTTTGGATTACAATTTTTTCCGTCGGTGATTTAAAACAAACTCTTCCGGATCTTTACTCGTGATCTTACAAACCAAATTTTAAGCTTATACATAAAAAACAAATTCTTTTATTTAATTGAATTTCCTATATTTGTGTCAAACATCCTATTTGCATGAGTATACCTATTTTTTTTACACATTACATGATAGCTGAATTGGCTGATACCATATACTTACCACAGTTACCAATATTAATATAAACATGTTTAACTCAAATGTACATAATATATATACAAAAAAAATCTTCCATTTGTATAATAACTACATATATTATTATTTTTTCAACAAATAAAACCTAGGTACTATATTTTTAAACATGATAATAAAAACATTTATATTATGCGACTATTAATATATTGTTTTTGACCAGAGACTTTAACGACTGAATTCGTTCAATTTTAAATTGTGTTATAAAATATAATAATATGTAACTTATACATAAACGCCTCAATTCGTTCACATGCTTTTCAACTGTTTACCATGTCCATTGGCAAAACAAAAGATGCAAATTTCATCTGTCATTTATTCATGTGTCCCGYAGTGTTACGTAGTTTTTACGTTCAGTATTTATTATATCATTTTATGGATAATATATCCATGAGTGTACAAACTGCTCTTCGACGAAAATACAATACACCCCTAGGGATATGTAACAATAAATTATGTGTTCAAATAACCAACATAATTTCGGGGAAATTTCGTCAACAAATGCATATTATATTATAATAGTCGACTAATTAACGCGTTTTTGGTCGTGTTTGTATAATACAGTTGTTGTGTTCGGCTTCCCGGACCTAGGTTCCCGCATCAGCAGGTGACATTAGTATAATTATCAGCACTCATATAAGGCAATGTAGATAAAAATCTCCACGAAGACTCTTTCATCCGGTTTAGATTTTGGTTCCGGGAAAAATCGTTTATCTTCATAACAAATTTGTTCCAATTGCCCATAGTGGGTATATGTTTGTAAATTTTTAATTTTAATCTGTTTAAATTAGTTTAAAAAATCAATTTAGATCTAAATACATAATATATTATACACGTATATGTTTGTTTATTCTGTTAAAAATTTTTATTTGAATATAGTAGGTATTGTTGAATAATGTTATACATTTAAAGCAGAATATTTTGAATATTGTTGTGTATTAATTGATTTAATATTTAGACAATTATATTAAATGAACAAACAATTAAAATKACATTAGCTCTGTATTGTTACTAATGYAATTTTGTCGAATGGTCGAGCTCTAGAATTATAAGAAAAATAAAAATCTTACTATTCGTACTCAAGCGTCTTGAAGTTATGGGCCAGTGGGTCGAACGACTGACCATCGTCGACCAGTGGTTTCTATTTTGTGCGCTCTGGTCAATTACAATTTGTACTTTAAATTCATAATATGTCTTAAAAAATAAACAATTTTATCGATATATTTAGTATAACATAATAATATTAAATGTTTATATTGATTAAAATCAGTTAACAAAACAATTTCGTGCTTTTAGTGGATTTTAGGAATCACACAATTTAATCATTAAAATGAATTACATAAGTATATTTAATATTGTTTTGAATAGTATTACCCACGAATATTATCATTATTATATCAATCATTAAATCATTTTTAAAAAAACTCTTTTATTTTAATTAGTTTGAGAACCAATTGAAGAGTAGGTGTGTATACCGTTATGTTTGTTGAGAATGTGGCACGTTATATTCTATATATGTGTACACCGCGTTGAAGTATCCACCTCACACACACACGCACTATTGCCGTAAACCAAGTGTTATAAATTTATATACTTAATTCATCAATGTTATACTTAAAAAGTGAAATATTACTATGATATGTATCAAAATTGAATGCGTTGATTATTTTTCTATGATTTCATACCGATAACCAAAAATATTTTTGAGTTAAGATTTTAAGCGACATTTGTAAGACTCATTAAAAACATATTTGTTTYAATTTGATTAAGTTGTGAATATTTAAGGTCAATTTTGTAAAATGTATTATGGTGCATTGTCCCATATTATAGTTATAGGTACTTATTTAAATTAAATATTCTTCAACATTCCTACCTATCATACCTTAATTTGTTTTCACGATTATTTGCTAACGTACATTTCCAACGGCTCACGGGTTTTTCTACAGAAGTGGATTTAATTATTTTTTAATTAATCAAAAGATATCTAATTATAACGGATATATTTTCATTAACAAGTAATAAAATTAATTTAATTAAATCAGTTGCCGCGGTTTTATATCCTATTTCCAAACTCGTGGGTACACAATAATATTATAACAGTTATTGAGCTTWATAATATGGTCTGATTAAGAATTCTAATTTTGTTACAAAAATTAACGAATGATAATCGTATTAGATGAATTGCGGTTCCTAATGATATAAAATAATTATTCCAAAACTATATACGGTATGTTCTAAAAGTACCGTACGCTCGGCAGGAGGTCACTCGGAGTGGTAAAACTTCTATAAAATACGTTGTTCAACAAAAATCGAGTTTACGTGTATAGAAAATCATAAAATTACACTTGGAATTTTGGAATTATATATATATATATATATATATATATGTGTGTGTTTTTATGTAGGTAGTACGTACGTATGTATAGGTAAATATAGGTTCATATCATTTGTATGGCGTATGTATCTACTTACGTATAGTTAATGTAATAATGTACACAGAGTACAAAAGAAAAACTTCTTAATTACAAACCTTAAACACCATGATAACTGTTACTTTACAATTAGTTAAGTATTTTTAAAATCATTAATAAGAATATAATATACACATAATATGTATATATTATATAGTATTATATACTTATACCATCTTAATATTGCGCTAACATGTTTAGTGTTTACAAACTAATAAATTGATTATAAACTATACTATATTATACTGTATGTGTATAGTATTTATGTATATATTTTACACATACGATTTAGTATAATAATATGAGTAGCTTATATACTTTTTAGTACCTACCTATGTCATTTTCCTTCATTTTCTATTTTTAATTTTTATCTTTCATATTCCGAGTATCATTGCTGGATGACTTCTATCCTCATATTTATTGGTCTTTGAATGATAAATGTTGTACACATATCATGCTTATTGTAAATACCCTTATAGCTTGTGTATACTCCAATAAATATTTTTAAAAAAATAAAAATCTTTCATACATCCCAATAAAATATTCAAATCTGTGCTTTTTGAAGATATGTGCTGTTTAAAGTAAATATATTTATATTACATAAATACATAATACATTGCATGTTATGCTAATAAATTCAAAATTAAGGAAAGAAAACATTGCGTATCATTTAAAAATTTAAAATTAAATAATCTAGTTTGTTTTTAAAGCCCGTGGTCAATTATGTATTATCTTATCCGTTATAGGCACTAAGTGATATGTTTGTATATTGATTGAAACAATTGTCAAATTATTTTCTTGTTGTGTTTACGTTACACTATATAATATATATGATACTATGTATACGATCTACGACACGTATGACGTATACGAATATATCTGAAAGTACTATATAATATATATATTAAATATTGTGTTCAATAAATACCATGCTCTCGCGGTTTTTATTGAATATACAGTTATCAAAACTCATAATTCATAATTTATGTTCGACTACATCAATGTAAATTAATTGTGTGCGATTCATAAAGCCTAGTATTATTATAGGACTATATATAGATACTATTATTTAGCATTTATCGTAACCGTCTATACATATTATACAAAATGGATCGCAGACGGATACCTAATAATTAATATTATAATAGATATTAGAATTAGATACCTACGTGTGGTACGTTTGTGACGAAAAAAATTGTTTTTCTATTATAGGTCAAAAAACGCGTACCTAATTATATGTCTAGAACAAATCGTAAGTGATTATAGTGTTTTGTTTTAGAACGCGGCACTTGGAAGGGGAGAGGTGGTGGGAAATCTTCAGCGTGTAAGTCGGAAGAAATGTACAGGTACGTGTGTGTGTGTTATGAGTAAGCGAACGTATGGTAAGAAGAGAGGAGGAACTACATGCGGACGATAAAAAGTGACAGTCCGGATCGTCGACCAAGCCGCACGCGAACCGGGTTACCGTGTCATAAGTCTAGCCGGATGTTGTGCGCGTGTTATACGTTTACACACATACACACACACGTATATATATATATATGCTGTACAGTGCACAGTATATATACACTATACATACTTCATCCTGACCGTATATCGCGTATAAGTATACATATATAATGAATTAATGAACGAATTCAGTAAAAGTATTCCTCCTCCTCCTCCTCTCCCCTGCTTCCATACGTTCACCTATATTCATGTACCTACTATATATGTGACCATTTTAGGTATATACAAAACGTACTTATCTGTATAATATATAGGTATTATACACGTTGTATAGTAAATGCTGTATATTATTCGCTTGACTGTACCGCGATGTTGAACGCCGGCACAGCGAACGACGGGCACAAATGGCAGCTCATCCGGACTGGTCGCAATTCAATATAATATTGTCTCATATATACATCATTGTTATTTTTCTCTCTTATTCTCAATGACGTCATTACTTCGTGCATGTATATGTGTGTTGCGACTGTATACCTTTGTGCAGCCGTATAGTTATATTATATTATATTCGMACGTGGGGGCCATCGACCGATATTGTGCATAAATCTATTTGCGGAAATTATACATTTTTTATGATTTCTTTATGAATATTTTTAACTTTTTCAATAAACGCCCGCGTGACACTACAGACCTATTATTCAAATAGATGTACCGATTTCGCCCAATAGTATAAATATATGTGTATAAAAATGGGCGTATTATAGGGTATTACTTTTCGTCTACAACGCATCACCCTCACGTTCCAAAACAATCACT